CCTAACCGACCTAATCGAGTCTTTACGATAAATATCCGACATATCCTGAAAGAACAACGGTTTAGTTATAATCGGTTTTCGGGGTAATGAATATTCGAACAAAAGTTATTTGTGATAGGTTACCATTGTACATACATTGTTAAGTCCATCTGAAGTGCGAATATTTTGATATGATTGTTAACACAAAGCTCGAACACAAAGAAAAATCTCTTAGATCCAGCTGGGCTCGAACCAATGACCTCTGAGCCTCCGGCTATGTTTGTCCCGCCTTCAGAGAGTCTTCTTCCTGGACACGAATTGCCATGGCTGACCTAGAGGTCTTTAAGTAGGCTTCGGACTCAGGTTCTAACCTGGACTGTTTGTGCGGTGCGATTCAAACGACGGCCCATCTCATATCATGCCCTACGTGCCCTAACACCTGCACGCTTGAGGATTTAAGCGTGAAATACACTGGAAGCGGATAGGGCGCGTGTCGGGTGTAATTCCGTGTATTAATATGGATTAAAACTCACCACGTGCGGGCACAGGACGGGCGCACGCGACTGATCCGCTCCCGCTCTCTGTATGTCATACGCTTAATCAATAAAGTATACCATCGATACGACAACAAGAAGAAGTTTGTCACACTTATAACATATTAATTCTTTAGAATTTTATCATGAATCGTATCAGACAAGCTAACCGGTTTCTTCACAATGATTTGCTTTACCGATAAAACGAGTACTAAAGAATAAAGGACGGTAAACATCCTGTTCAAATGGTTCGTATAATTCATTGGAATATTGAACTAAATCACCTTTCTTTAGCACCCAAACTCGCTCAAAAAACAGTTGAATTTGTGGTGCCCGAGTAAACAACGATAACCATCAAGACGGTTAGTTTGAGGTCAAACAGTTTGGTTAAATATTTGCCTATTTGCGCGGACCTCATTTCGTATTGCTGGTTAGAAACCAACATTCTTTTTTGGGACCACATTGTGAGGTGATATTGATTACTGTTCCGATATTAGTTTAGAGAATATTTTAATCACATTAAAGATGAATTTTTTTGTTTTTTTATTTTCAATTATTAAGTAACACATTTCTTTGTTTGATAAACTATATTGTATGATTATTATTACTACATATTATGTACATAACTAGGGCTCAGATAAATGTGCAATACAAACTACATAAATGTAATAATAATAATAATATTTATTCACTAAGCCACACGCAACATTTTGCGTGTCAAGGTACAATTTTTGATCTTTTAAAGCTTAACCTGTAAAAAAAGTTTTTTTATAAAACTTACTTATTACTTACCTACTTACTATGTAACTTTTTATTAAAAAACCGACCTCAAATGTCCGTGGAATTACATCTATTTGCCAAGTTTTATTGCAATCGGCTACCGGAAAGTGCGCGAAACCGGATTCATACTCTATCTATAAACTAGGGGAGTTTGCCACCCTTAAGTGGATATTTTCTTTAAATTTAAATGAGACCAATACTGAGGTAACCTCTTTACAACCAAAAAAAGTATCATCAACATCGGTTCTCATCTTTCGAGTTATCGCGTAACATACATACAAAAAAAAAACATTGGAATTGAGAACGTCCTTCTTCTCTTTGACGTCCCTTAAAAATATAATATAGGCACAAAATTCTTAAATAAGGAGATCAAAAAAAAAAGTTAACTATTTGTTGTATTTAAGAATTTTCTGGTCTGGTCTATTTGACCATGCTTTATTATCAAAAAATCAACAATTTTGTTCCTCTGAATTGTGTTACAGTACACAATTACATGCTTTTTTTTAATTAACAAAATTAGAATTTTGATCGGAACAACACTTTTTATTGGCTGAATGATCTTTCGACGTCGTAAGGTGTGACTGGAGCAAACTTAAATTTGCACAACTCCAGCCTCGTCCAGGAACTCCTCGATATATTTTGAAGGTGCACCAGAATATTCTGGACATTAAATTCCAAATTCCGTTTATTTGCGACACCCAAAAACAACATACAGACGAAAAATTTCACATATAAACAGTAACTAAAACAAAATGCTACAATTATGGTCACAAATGTGTGGCGAGGATTCTGAACCTAGTATATGCTGTGCAGGTGTGCACTAAAACTGTGGCACCAGTGACAATTTCCGGGACCAAAAGATTTTTTAAATTTTATTAAGGCATATTTATCTCCATCTCACCTGACGGAAAGTGACGATGAGGTCGACGATGGAGCATGCACACCTAACTGATGCATTTTTGAAACAAACCAGTCGACCGTTACTACGATGGCACCGATAATGAACTCCAAACGTTGTTTGAAAAAACAAATATCTATATATATTCAAATTGTAACAATAGCGAAAACTCAAAAACTCGAATGAACATGTACTTTAATTATCCTGTCAGCAAAATGATTTACTATACCAATTTCACACAATATAATAATCTCAGAAATCTAGTTTAAATAACTACATAACCACCAAGATAAATGCCATTTTATTATAGATAAAATATAACATTTCATAAAGCAAAGGTCACATAACACGTTACGCAAAAAGGATGCCCCAGATTACGATCAGAACTGAATTAGCGCACTTCATTCACATCCTACAGTGTGTTATCTGCTTATTGCACGTACTGCGCTTCCTATTATTACATATGCGGGTCGTTAGCGCTTGTCTAGTCATGGATATGTGCTGTTATGCAATTGGTTTAATACGTCATTTGGTTGTTTGCTTTAAATTGGGAAACGACTGTTTTACGGTTACCTATCACAAGTGAGAAATTGCGTTTACCCGAAATAACGTTTGCTTGAATTTTTATAAACCCGAAAGTAATTTTTCGCAGAAAACATTTTTTTTTACAAATATTATAAAAAGTCTAACCTAACCTAATTATTTCTTTGCAACAAGCATCCAAAACGCCCTGACAGAATGACAGTTTCGTTATTCAGGTTTTTTGGTTTATGAACATTCGAGCAAATGTTCATTCATGCAAATTTAATTTCGGACTTCTGATCGGTTAACTTGATATTAAAATATGATATTTACAATATTTTACGTACTTTTACGATACATACTATTATTATTTAAATAGACAAAATATACTTTCAATAAGTTTCTACGCGTCGTCGGCCGGGCACGGTGGAACCATACAAATGTTGTTACTGCCAACTTCTAAATAAAGGGTGTCTCAAAAAGAGTGCACTATTTCATTTAAAAATAAAACACGTATTTTTTAGCGAGTTGTGATATTTTTATTGCATTACAAAGTAGACACGTTCCGATTAAGCAAGGAATAAAATATACGACCCCCGTGACTTTGATGACGGACCATTGCTCTTTTCATGAATTTTTTGTCAAAGGTATGGTTGAATCTCGGTCTTGGGCTCAGGAATTGTTTGTAGTTTATTCCCATAGACCCTAGATTTCACGAACCCCAAAAAAATAATGCGCACGGTGTCAAATCGTATGATCTTGGCGGCCAGTTGACTTCAGAAATTCGTGAGATGATTTTGTCTGGAAATAGTTGCTGCAATAAATCGGTTGTTTCATGCGCGGTGTGGCAGGTGGCGCTGTCCTTCTGAAATCACATGTCGTCCAGATTGAAAATACCGCGAAGTTTGCGAGCAGTCTCAGCGTAACTTTCCCCATTTTTGTAATAGGTTTTCACAATGATAACGCGTTCTTCTTTTGTGTAGCGCGCCATTTTTAACAATCGTAACAATCATAGCTAACAGCTGTTAAATATCAGTGTCGCCACTTGCACGAAAAAAAATGTTACAAAATTTAAATAATGCATTCTTATTGAGATACCTTTTTACCGACTTCAAAAAAGGAGCTTCTCAATTCCACTGGTCTTTTTTGTGTGTGTGTTAATCGATTACTCCGGCCATTTGAGAACCGACGTTGGAGAGAGTCACCTTAGTATTGATCCCATTTAAATTTGATGATCTCGAAGAGTAGCAAACTAGGATATAAATATAAATACTAATCTTTATTTCAAATGGAGAACTAAAACCCTTTTCAAAGTGTTAAGTATCTCTCAACATTTTCCTGATCTCAAAACCCAAAATCGACGAACTCAAACAATCGTTCCGTAAACCGCCGTTATATAAATCGCTTATTCAATTTACCAACGCGTGAATTCATATGACTCACTAACAGCATTAAGTGGTATAGTCTACCCGCTAAGTTGGACACCGATTTAGCATGAATGTACAAGGCGTTCGAAAGTTTCAGGATTATTTTCCTAAGAGGAACTATTCTGACGATTGTATTCACTATCTTTGAAATACTGCTCATTGTACGAGGTGTCAGAAAGTAAAAGCATTAAAGGCGTTTTCTTTTGTCGGAAGCCACACGTTTAGAGGGGTATTTAGAGCGTGCGAAAGATTCTCGGATTACGAACGTTTGCTGAATAGATACCATGCGATTAAATGGTTTAAAAGTCAATGAGGATTGTAGGTTTAAGACTTTACTCTCTGTTTAATATGGAGGGCATTTAATTCAAGCACTAATTATTGTAAACTAATTCTTACAAACCCTCTATCTACGGGAATGGTGAAATGGATCATTTTCGAGTTAGTGTTTTCTACCTGCGGCCCAATGGATCTTTCCACACAATTATGATTCAAAGTGTATTCCACAGCATTTAGGTTTATTTGAAAAGAGCAATCGTTAAAGTTTCTTACTCGTTCTTCTCAGGGAGGTCAGCGCAGTAAACGAGCAATAGCTTAAAAAATTACGTTTTCAAGTATGAATAAATGATTGTTTAACTTTGTGAGAAGGGAATTTCCTGGTTTAAGTAGTTGGCGTGGATGTGTTCAAGCGGTAGAACAGCAAAATCTGTCACATTTCAAAGAAAGTCTCCGCCATTAAAATCGAAAACTATTCTACGTCTGATACCAATTATTTGCACGTTAATTAACTTCTTTGAGAAAACCAAAATTCATATATTAATAAATAAATAATCACACAAAATACTAAAGGTCACGTTTTTCCAGCAGCGGGTGGTTACAAGCAGCGGTCGCGGTAAGCGGTTCACGTTCCAATCGACGGTTCGCCAGCTGGAGCGGCGGCGGTTAGCTGAGAAACTTTCAAGGGAAGCTGATTTGAAAGAGCAGCAAAGGAGAACTGAGCTGGAAGCCATGAGAAGGTGAGAATTTTTGTATCACCGTCATTGTTGTGACCTTAAGCGTCTAGTAGAGCTTCTTGTGAAAAGTTCCTCCAGGGAAATGCTGCCTCCCTATACCGGTTTCTGCCGCCAAAAAGTTCGCGTTGTTGAATACGAGTGCTCATGAAACTTCAGGCACGTGGGGCTTGTCAAGGGTATGATCTCATATTTAAATAGCACTGAAACTGTTAAGAACAGGCGTGCCACTTACCACTAGGCCCATGATTTGGCCGTCTCGTTACTTAATATTACAAAAACAATTGGAAAAGCAGAAGAAATAATATTGGCAATCTTTCAGGGTGGAAGAGGAATTCCAGAGAAAACGCGCGAGAGAAAAGGCGAATATCAGACAGCAGCTGAGGCTGGTAAGCAGTGGAGCTACCAGCATGCCGTCTGCCACACAACATACTAAAGTAAGAGAGTAAACAAAAATTGCTAATGATAACAATAGCTATAGGCTCAACTCACATTGGCGCACAGTCGAAGCGCGTTCCATATTTGCATAACACAAATTTATACCTTAACGGTGGGAAAATAGAGATGAATATGCTATAGGCGAAAAACGCGTCGCGACAGTGTGAGTTGACTCATAAAAATAATCGCAAAGACATATGGAATGTCTTTGCGATTGCCACACATAAGAAATTTAACTATTTTTACATACAAAAAAAATAAAAGAAACGTACAGTCGAATTGACAACCTCCTCCTTCTTTATTTGAAATCGGTAAAATATTAGTAGTAGAGTTTATTATCAATGTGACGGACTCTAGTGTAATTTGATTATTTATAAATAATATACATTTGTGGTTTGTAAATATGATGAATATTTGTTGCAGACTCGAGACGAGCCCGACGGCTCGTGTCGCGAGTCGCCGGCTACGGAGCGACCACGCGACGGACGACAGCGGCATAGCAACGCTTCGTCGGAAATAAGTGGACGTAGCAAAAGCACCACGCCTGTAAGTTTGTGTAATTTATGCAGCGCTGCAGGTTTCATTGCACGTTGTTGACGCTAAACTCGGCTATCCTTGGCATCTTTGTTTTCATTTATTTTAAGCACTAGCATAGTACTTTATAAATACATTACAATCTAGTCAAATGCAAGACTAATAAGTAATTTATATCTCACTTAAACTAAACTAAGAATTCACTCATTCTTTTTATCTATTAAGGCGAAGACACTTCTATCGTGTGTTCTTTTTGTGCAGTGTCACTGGCACTATTTAATTTAATCATACACTAACATTACACTGGTTCAAATCCGGTTTAAACGTCTTATAATATCTATGTCCTGAACTGAATGTCTTCAACGTTCACGTGATGGTGAAGCCTGAGTTTAGTCGTAGTTTTAGAGTACGAATTTCATTTCCAAGTCACGATGGAGTTATTCATAAATAGATAAAATACTGATCTTTGTAATTTTTTTTTTTTTTTTTTTTTTATAATAATAATAACGCACACACTCAACATAGCCCCGCACTAGGGAAACCCTGTGTCGCGGGTGCCATGGACACACATAGACAACCACAAATTACACCCAAACTCACGAGAGAAATAAATGTAGGCCATACAAATATTTCTCCCGGCCCGGGAATCGAACCTGGGACCTCTGCGTGGCAGTCCGGCATGGTAACCGTTCGGCCACAGAGGCAGTTAATATGTAAAGTATATTTTCATTTCAATGGGAATCTTACCTTGCCGTAATAAAGTCTCCACTAGCAAGAAGGAATAATTTTGTCAATATGCCGCCATGTGTGTATGAATGATTTTTATCATTCAAAAACTAATATGAAGAATTGTTATTTTTTCTTTACGTTAGATCTAAGTAGTATTGTAAACAGTTACATGATATAAATCATTATAACTGTATTGTACAATCTTAAGCGGAGATAAATGAACTTTGACTTCGATTAAATCAAAATGGCGAACTAAACAAGTTTTACATACTTATTTACAAAACGAGTGTTGCCTATGTTTAAGCAAGAAATAAATAAATAACAAAAATGGCTTAGGTACAGGAGCAAACTTGGAGGATTGTATATTAGCTTACTCTGTGAAAATCACGTTACTGTGTGTTGTCACTGTCATTTTTAATGTGCAATAAAGGATATTTCATTCATTCAGATACTTATTTTAATCTTCCGTAATTTCAGATTCGATCAGTAGAGATGTCGGAATGGCGTACGGATGAAGCTAGAGTGTACCACGACTGGGCGACGAATTTGACGAACAACACTGCGCACGCGCACCCTCCGGCTTGCGCACGCATGCCGAAGTCCGCGCACGTTGTCTACAACGGTAATGATTTCATTATGCTTTACATTTAATTAACAGTTAATCATGTCACATTGGATATGGCTGGAAATTGAAAGTTTCGCTGTCTCCGAGGATAATTCATACCAAGCCCCAACGGTATTTGGAACGTGATAACGGAATAATAAAATGAAAATGTGGCAATACGCAGGGGCATTGAATCTTGCACCAATTAATAATACACATCGCTCATCCGATTTAACAATGACAAATGAAAAAACACAAAACTAAGAATTATTGCATTTTGTAGATTCTTGTCGATGGAGTAATGACCAACAATCTATGTTAAACACGTTTAACAGTTTCCCTTGTCTGATCTAAATAACTTCGTCTCGGTCATCCTTTGCCTCTCTTTCTCTTCCACAATGCTGTTTTTAACATAAATGGACTTGTTCTTCCACTTCCCTTCCTAGCCCTTCTTGGACCACTGCCTTGCCCTAGAGCAAAGATAGGACCTACGATGGAACGAGCTCGACCAGAAGATGCCTATACAGTCGCACTCGGGTTGTATTTGCTCGGAAAAACAGTTACATCCAGGGAGTTCCAATCCTAGACTATACACATAATAAAAGATGACGAAAAGCGCTTAGTACGCCTGAAGGAAATATTGACCAAGCAAGGATGATGTCCCACCGTACGTCTGGATGTCCGATGATAAACGGCGGGCGGGCGTCATGAGCTGATGGAGTTCATGGGCGCACTCATCGAAATATATTCTGTAGAATACCGACAGACAGGCCACTTTGCGCCGGTGGGCTAAACTATGAAGTTTAGATTCAAGCTTATCGTCGCCAATAAGTCTCCAGGCTCTGCGTTCAACCGAATCAAGAGCATGAGGTTGAATTTTCGCTGAGCCAGCAATACTTCATTCAAGATCGGTCTCGTGCTTTATCTATATAAAAATTTAGCTCTATAGCTAAAAGCTGTTCAGGCGTGAAATATCGCTTCACCTTATTAAGGATACCCAGTTTATTAGCTGCAGTTTGTGCTCAATGTTATGCCAAGGAACTCCTGGCTGTCACTAACAGAGACAGATACACCCTTAGAATAATAACGCATAGAAACCTAGTCCGCACACGCTAATTGAGGCAAATTGAAGCGCGCCAAAAGGGCCTACACGAGCGGGCGGACCGTCAGTGCTCAAGGTCAACTTGCACCGCGAACAGCTCCAGAATTTTAGCTAAAAATGACGAAATGTGCGGTAAATGAGTGTAAAAATACGTCAGACAAACATAAAATATATACTAACATCACATTCAACAAGGAAGTAACGCGTTTCAACTTGTATTTTTATATAAATATTCACTAAAACCGAAAATTAACCTGCTACTAAAACTAGCCTACGTAAATTTGATTTTTGCCTCACTTGTGACAGTTCGTTTGATATGAAACTATCATTCTATGCGTTATTATTCTAAGGATACACCCCGAAAAATAGGAGTCGGGTCAAATAGACCCCCTTTACCGAAAAATGTGACCATATTATATGCTTCTAAGAAAATAGTTGTGAAGTATCAGATCCCCAAACGTCTTTCCCTTTTTCTGTATTGTCTTTATTAAACTTCTCTTTCTTTCCGTCCAACTGATATGGATGGAATTAGTGTCATTTATTGTTTACTAAACAATGACAAATATACCTACGTAATTTACAATTTAAAGTCATAGATAAACTAGAACTTTATGTTAATTAACGTAAAAATAATTTGTTCACATATAATTTTGTTTCACCAAGTCTTCCTTTAGCGCGATTGCAAACAACGCCTTGACATACTTGAATGTATGCCATTGTTCTATATCACAATTTCTTTACGCGTATATTTTATGCATGAAACGTTGTTCTAAAAATCCCTGAGGAAAAGGAATACTATTACAATGTCCTAAAGACCTTAAAATCATACTCTAGGCACAATAAAGCCACAGCCTACTAAAAAACAATCAGTTGCAACTCTCTTGAAGTATAAAAGAGTTAGCGATATTTCGTACTTTAAACCTCTCTCTCTCCTGAAAAGTTGTAGTTTTGCAGATGTGGCCTTATTACACCATTCATAATTACGGATAAAGTACAATTCATTCTTTTTGGTAGCTATACATATAATAGACATAATATAATTAATTGTATAAAAAATGTTATGACAGTGACAATACACTTCTTTCATACACCTATTATGTTATTTATTTAAGCATTTATTTAAATTAATTATATTCATTAATTATAACCTAGAATTAAATATTAAAATTAATATTGTAATAAGGTTCAGGCATAGCAAAGGGCCCGGTCCGACTCAGCAGAAGTAAAAGCGCAACTTTATTGTTTGTTGTGCAAATAATCTCAGTACAGAGTACTAAAAAAACCGACCTCAAAAGTACGTGGAATTACGTCTATTTGCTAAGTTTTATTGAAATATCCCCTAGTTCGCCACTATACAGGACTTGACACTGGAGATAATAATAATCGGTTCTCACTACTCAAAGTATACAGAGAGAAAAACGCCTTGAATTGGAGAAAGAGCAAAATTAACCATTAAAATAATTGCTCCTAAATTAAAGTTAGGCGCTATTTATAAAAATGAAACTTCATGCGTGAACAGCCACCCTTAGAGGTGGATGATTTTCTTCAAAATGAAATGGGGCCACTATGGAAGTACCCCCTTTCCAACAAAAAAAGAATCATGAAAATCGGTTCACAAATACCGGAGTTATCGCGTAACATACATACAAAAAAATAACATACAGTCGAATTGAGAACCTCCTCCTTTTTTGAAGTCGGTTAAAAAAAGTCGAAACGGGCGGTCAGTATGTGCTCGTACACAACCCGTACGCTATTAAAGCATGTAATATGGTCCAGTAGTGTCGTACACACATAGAATTCGAAAGTCAAAAATCAGACTGAAAAACTCGGTCAAAAAATCAACCGTAATAATTATCGATGTGCTAGCATCATAAACCAAGTCGCGTTTTAGAAATCGCTTTAAAATGGTCAATGCCATTTAGCGGCATCGTATCGAACTAACTCCGATATACTATGTTTTATAAATACATTATACTATACAATAGATGTAGCGTAGCAATGCTGTCAAAGTAAACGTCTTTTGAAACGTCTTTAGAAATTAATGGGTCATCCTATGTTATATCCACATTATACCAGCTTCAAATGTTACAAATTCTATTTCAACAGCCTGTGTATCATAGAGAGTGACAAGGCCACGCCTGTGGTGTCGCTAATGCACTTCCGACGAACCTATTGTTGGACTCCACGACATTGGTTGGCCGAGTAGATGATTTAATAAGTAGGTAGACTTGGTTTATGATGCTAGCACATCCATTATTATTACGGTCGATTCTTTGACCGAGTTTTTCAGTCTGACTTTGCGAGCTACAGTCAAGGGCACGCACCGCACTGCATCAGATTTCTATGCTTTCCGTGTCCGAGACTACACAAATCAATGTTAATATCAATTATGAAGCTTCATTCGCGTCATACGTCTTTTAATATGGTCGAAGGTCGAGTATTACTTATTTGACATTAATTATTTCGAATAGATGTCGGACGGTGAACAGAAGTAGGTTTCTAGATCCGAAAAAATAGTTAGAATAAATACTTCGAATAGCTTACTGTACCTATAAGTTATTTTGTTCGTTTTTTTTCGAACAAACAAACGTATCGAGTCTTTACAGGTTCCATGGTCGCGGTAGACTTGTATGGAAAAACTATTATACGCAAAGATCCGAAATCATAAAAAAAACCACCTAAAAAGTTTATTTTTATTTTTATTTATCATTGACTTACAATTATATGGACGTCCGTCCATATACCGTCCGTGTACCGCGTCGCGCAAGCTTGGCATCCTGAACAAGGTGCACCGATTTTTTACTCCAGAGCTGCGATACCTGTTGTATAAAGCTCAGGTCCGAAGCAGCATGGAGTACTGTTCGCACCTTTGGGACGGCTCTGCCAAGTACTTGCTCGATGCCCTAGATGGACTGCAGCGCTACGCCTTCCGTGTTGTCAACGATCCTCATGTAACTGAGCATGCGGAGTCGTTACAGCTTCGCAGAGAAATAGCGTCTCTTAGCGTATTCTATCGCCTGTACCACGGTGAGTGCTCTGAAGAGCTATTCAACCTTATCCCTTCCTCTCCTTTCCATCAGCGGACCACCCGTGCTGGACTGCGTTGCCACAGATGGACGGTCAGTTCAATACCGTCCCACACTAAAAAGTTTGGCAATTCGTTTTTATGCCGAACCATCAAATTGTGGAACCAACTCCCGGCGCATGTATTCCCTCCCCTCTATAACATCGGGTCCTTCAAACGTAGTGTGAAGAAGCATTTGGCCAGACCGGCAAAATGATAGTGACGGAGTGAAGATATTTGTGTTTTCCATCCGTTACTCTCATCTCTGGACTGTATTCGCACTTTCCATCAGGCGCGGTGCAGTCATTTTGCCGAGTCACAATAAAAAAAAAAAAAAAAAAATCGTCGTGTCCGCGCTAAAAAGTATCCGAACTTATAGGGCGTTAAAATCGTATACAGAGCGTCATTCACGCTTTAGTCTTCGTTTGTTTCTTCTGACAGCGAAGCAAGCAAAATTAGACAGTACTGCGATGACATTACAATTTAAATTCAACGTTTTAGCTTTTTCATATTCCTTTACATGTCACTACGTTTAAATAGGTTGACTTGGGACATTTTTTTCGTGGTTTTTGTATTAGACCCGTCGTCCATTTATTTGTAAGTCAATGTTATTTATTTATTTATTTCCATACTTAATCTATTTTTACAGGTTATACCCAATACAATAAACCAGCAATAACTATAACTACCTATATCTAACTAAGTTCGTGAAATTACATCTATTTGCCAATTTTTATTGAAATTTGTTACCGGAAAGTGGGCGAAACCGGATTCATCCCCTAGTTTGCCACCCTTAGGGGTGGAATATTTTCTTCAAATTTAAATGGGAACAATGCTGAAGTGCCCACTTTCCAACAAGAAAAGAAACATCAAAATCGGTTCACACATTCGATCTTTGTATTAATAATTATAACAAATTAATGGAGTAATTTCACAAAAAATAATTGGTATCACGTTGGTGAAACATCTGACATTCAATAAAAAACTTAAAAGCAAATATTCATATGCGATTTATGTGAAACAATAACGAAAACATAAGAACTCGATATGTTATATCAATAAATTCATTAAAATCATCATGTGTTCATAATTTTAAATACCAATAAAGAAGAATCGAAAATAATCTTAGTTTACTGTCGCAAAACGAAATCTTTACCTGTTTCTATACCGGTATACACAAGTCTTTCTTTGGATATAAAAAAAAATTGATGACAAAATGTCACGACATCGACGTGGTTGGATAGTGATAATGGAAACTCATCGTTTTGATTTACTACGTCAATAGTGTCATGAAAGTGGAGCAACCTGGCAATGAAAGCATAAGATTTCACAGTACGCGTATTGTACGACCAATATGCGAAGAATTTTTTAAAAAGTAAGTAAGGTGGGATAAGAGGAACATATGTTATTTTGAGTCGCATGATTTGTGCTCTAGAAAGAACAGATAAAGTCTTATAAGAATTTAGAAGTAACTAAACATGCTCTAGTTCATCAGGTTTACACGTTTTAACAATGATTACGTTAAATTCAATACTTGCGATGTATTTGTCGAAAATATGCATAATTGTGCTAACTTTCCCCTACGGGGGTAGGCTGGGGTAAGAGGTATAGTCATCGTATTGCACATAAAGGTTTTTTTTTATAGAATACCAAAAGCCACGCATATCCATAACAGTTTCAGTGGCACTCAGGAATTTTAAACGCAAAGATCTTAAGGACACTGCCACTGTGCCCGTCACCCTGAGACATAAGTTAACAAGTCCCAAATGCCTGTAATTTCACCAGCACCCTTATCCTACGAAACCGGAACGCATTAATGCTCACTTTACTGCTCTGCGGCTGAATTACCTCGTGTTATGACAATGCGACCACTTTTTTAACACCCTTTTCTCTGGTTCCGGCCACTTGCTTTTGAAATTTTCAATCGTTCTCTAATTATTTTTGTTCGTCATTCTTAACATTGCCTCGTTCCGTCGCCACTCCCATCAAAATTCTCGAGGAGAAAAGACCTACAATCATGTAAACCACATGACATACGAATAGAAGCCCCTCTGGGATAAGTTCACTTACGTTTGTCTAATCTGTAGGAAGAGTTTTTATATTATTGTACCATGACTTACAATTATATGGACGTCGGGTCCGCGCTAAAAAGTGTCCGAACTTATAGGGCGTTAAAATCGTATACAGAGCGTCATTCACGCTTTAGTCTTCGTTTGTTCGACTGACAGCGAAGCAAGCAAAATTAGACAGTACAGCGATGACATTACAATTTAAATTCAACGTTTTAGCTTTTTCATATTCCTTTACATGTCACTACGTTTAAATAGGTTGACTTGGGACATTTTTTTCGTGGTTTTTGTATTAGACCCGTCGTCCATTTATTTGTAAGTCAATGTTATTGTACCTATTTTTATACCACGTTTTTTGTTACAGCCTGTTCCTTTCTTCATTTTTCTTCACCTTGTCCCTACCGTTATAACTTTTACAATAAATGATGTGGATCGCGCGTTACTTTCTATCATTATTACGCAAAAACCGCATGACAGTGTCCTCAAGGCTTCACAACTATCAAATTTGTTTTTTCTGCTTCTTGGATTTGGAGCATCGTAGCGACATCTATTTAAAATCGTTTAAACTAATTTGTTTGTCTGTTTTATCGACTGAGAGACTATAGTACTCTTTGGACCATGAGTAATCAAGTTCCTCTTACACCACCTGGGGGTAGATTCAGAACCTTACGATAACTCAGTTGTGGACCAATTCCATTTGATACCGTACAATTTCTTTTCATTTTTATTCGTTGTCGTATTCGAAACCGAACCGAAATGACGTCACACCCGTACGATTACTCGAACTTCTCGACCGGCAAAGGCTACAAACGTTAGTCAGAACACAGTTATCGAATGTAAGTTACCGAACGTCCTATTGTTCACAAAGCAAGAATGTAATATGGAAATATCTTATTATATCGAGTTCTTAGGTTTTCGCGATTGTTACACATAGGAAATGAAACTATTTTTCCGGATTTAAATCGCGTATATCTGTTTTTTCAAACAAACCGACGTTTCGGGCCCTTTACAGGTCCCATGGTCACGGTTGACTCAACCGTGACCATGGGATTGAACAAAATCCAGACTTTATTTAAAATAATAAAGATATTGAAACTATTTTTCCGGATTTAAATCGCGTATATTTGTTTTTTCAAACAAACCAACGTTTTGGGCCCTTTACAGGTCCCATGGTCACTGGGATAGCAAAATCATCAATCAGTCATGTCCATTACCTATGGTCATATCTAATATTAATGCAAAGCAAAATAGGGTGGTTTTTATTAATATCAGATCCATTTGTAATGAAAAAACTTTGTTAAAATATGAAAATATATGTGAAAATATTCTTGCATGGTGAACCAGCAAACTAATTTACTGAAACACGTATTCAATATAAGATTACGCATATTCCACTTCTGCTATATGACGAAACAATGATTTATGATCTTCAGCGAACGAGACAGAAGCTTTCAGCGGCAGCCCCCGCTCCGACAACTACCGGCTTGAGTTTGCTCGAGGGCGATCCCCGCGCACCCCGCGCCCTCCGCGCCTCATCTCCGCCGCGCGCTCGCCTTCCACTTCAGGATCTGAACTGTCTCTGAGGCAACCCATCAAGATCAGGTACGGTGATTTTACTCATTACATATTGTTGCGTCAACTTGATATAATTTCAATTGTACCATCAGTCGAACAACAATATATAAGTAGTTGCCAAACATGTTAAGCTTACGTAAATAAAATTTAAAGTTTGTAGTTTTTGATAACAAACGTAATTGGAAGTCCTGTAAATGAAACAAATCTTACTGTAGCGAGTTATGTTAATTCAAAGTAAAGGTAAAAAAACAACTTTATTTGACTTCATATGAAAATTATAATTATCTACCAGGGTTCGAAATTATAAGGATATTTATATTATTTGAATTTATCATGTTAATTAGCTGATAATTTTTCATTCTGATTATGACTTATTCATTTTAAAAATAATAAACGGTGAGAAAATTAAATAAACACAAAGAAAAATCTTCGGGAAAACGATTTGGTTCGTGACTTTTGAGATTGATCTCTGACACGTTTGGACGCATCTCTGAAACAAACACAAGGCACGACATTGCTAGCGGTAGCATTTTGTTATTCTCTTAGTTTTATAAATATCAAAATGATTATCAATATAATTAACTATCAATGATAATTGTCACTTCGAACCTTATTTTCTACTACCAGCACAACAAAATAATATATTCGACAGTTTTTGCATGTGGTCATTTGCTTCTGCGATTGAGGACCATACCAACATTGCAATTTTTTGGGAATTCCTTTAAGATATACCTGGAAATTATTAAAAATAAGCATGAATTGGAAACCGCTTTAAAAAACAATGACCCCAACATGGATGCAATATTAAAAAGTTTATTTGAGATTAAATTGGACGCGTCTCTAGTCCTCACAGTGGCATAATTAAATACATCGTATACTGAAGTGTCCAAGAAAATTTCGATGTAGGATTTTCTGTCTCAAATAAACTTCCAAGATATAAAGTAGATTAGTAATAGTAAACAGAATGGTATATTTTCCGAAGGTGGTGACGTCGTAGAGCTATAGCTAACCACTAACTGGCTTTCCATTGGACAGGTGAGTGCTTAGTGCTTAGTTGGTAGTTCCTTGGTGACTTATAAGTCACTTAATGATAAATAATAATCCAACAGACTTGTACATATTAGCGAAAAACAGTAACAATAAACAAAGAGCTTACTTAGTACTAGGGTCAAGTGGGATTAGAAGAACACCGGGGGAAGCAGAACTTGAAGCCTTAACTCATAAACTAGAGTCGACAAAACAGAGAAACTCTATTCAATTTATTTAGTCATGAACAATATACATAATTGTGTTTGAATATCATGAATTTAAATTAAAGAATCATAAAAATTGATTAAAATACAGAGTGTAACGATTTATTAGAATTTAAAATAAAATAGTGACAATAATAAAACGTCAGGACAGATTTAATGAGTCAATATTAACAATTTAAAACAATCAAATAAAAAGTATAAATGTAAAAAACAATTTATAACAAATTTAAAATTCTTCTAAGGAGTAACAGCATTTTTGTAATAACGAATCTCTCAGTCTTTTTTAAATAGTTTTATCTCTATAGCCAATGCTATAGAGCCAACAGCTTAAACAAGCAACAAACAATTGAGAAACTCAAAACGTAATAACACTTAAATAAAAAAATAATTTGTAAAAAATATGTCACTACAAAAACTCACCATTTTTTCTTGTTCGGACTCACTTTTTTTAAATTATTTATTGCACATGAAAATACAAATCACATTTAGTAAAAAAGAAAACACAAACAAACAAACAAAACGTACAGCTACATTTTTGGTCCTATCTACACAATAATTACAAAAACGGGTTTAGGTGCACAACAAAACAAAAATTATAAATTAAAAAAACAATATCATAAACATGAAACTATTATAGACTTTAGAAATACTTAGATAAATACACAAATGTATTATAATACCTATGAATGGAACAGTGGATAACTCGGGTCTTTAACTCTTATTTTCTATTCACTGGAGGTCAAAACATTTGACTTAAAATAAAGTGTGTTCCTCTTATCCCATCTGACTATAATTTTCAATATTTATTTATTTTTAACTTAGTTCTGAAAAGCATGTACCAAAATTAAGCTTTGTAAAACTTTCTTTACTAACTTGTGAACGTGTAAACCATTTGAAGTATATTTCTTATTTGTAGCGTTTTATGTTAAAAAGTGATCTAACCATGTGTACCACCATAACAGGGAAACAACAAAGGAGGAACCAGAACCGGAAGAGCCTGTCATAGTGCCAACATTGCGGCCGTCAGGACCTGCGCGGGCGTCACTTGCAATCCGTTGATGATTTAATTACGAAATTGTTATAATTTTTCGTTTCTAAATTTTGAAATAATTATATATTATAACATTTATCGACGGTCTGAAATAGATACGATAGAAACCAAACAACAAAATAGTAAAAGCATAAAAAGCTACAACAAAATTTATTTGATAAAGTCATTGATTTACAAATAAATGGACGACGGGTCTAATACAAAAACCACGAAAAAAATGTCCCACGTCAACCTATTTAAACGTAGTGACATGTAAAGGAATATGAAAAAGCTAAAACGTTGAATTTAAATTGTAATGTCATCGCAGTACTGTCTAATTTTGCTTGCTTCGCTGTCAGTCGAAAAAACGAAGACTAAAGCGTGAATGACGCTCTGTATACGATTTTAACGCCCTATAAGTTCGGACACTTTTTAGCGCGGACCCGACGTCCATTTATTTGTAAGTCAATGGATAAAGTATAAAATTATTCAATCTTTTTTGTTTTTCATAAAAACATTATAGGTACCTACGACAAATGTAAACATTATACAACCCCTCTACAGAACCTAAATTTATCTTTGATGTAGTATTTTTTTTATTATATCAAGTGACGGGACGAACAAATCGTGCGCCTGAAGTAAAGCGACACGCCTGTCCTGTCTCCCTGATACATATTATTTAACAAACCCTTCCCCCCTTCAAAACCGAAACGAAGCTTATCGGCAGAAATAGGTAAGATGGCACTACTTCCCTGGACGGAATCTTTCTCAAGGAGCTCTACTACTACCTACTATAAAAAAAACTAAATCTATAACGTCATCTATTACGGTTTCTCACAACAATAGCTACACTACTTACATCAAAGATAAATTTGTAGCTATGTACATTACCTCGCAAAAGAATGTTATAAAAACTATCCATAAAAACGTAGCATTATGCGAATCGCAGGGCGGTAATGGGTTTTCCCTCGTATTGTGGAATCAGACTTATTAAGAATCGCCCAGTCACGCACAACGGAAATAACGACGGAGTGGCACTTTTGTGCCTTGACTTTACAATTAATACCAAAATTCTGGGAAAATACATTATCTACGCTTTATAATTTCTGCCCTCCTTGTCATAATAAAAACAACGCATTTGCGTTTTGGACTTCTCAAGATATTAACATAAAATTTTTTCAAATGGATTTAATTTCGTTTGTAAAAAAGTAAATTGTGAAATAAAGCCGGTGTCCCAGCCGTTCGAACCCCGCAATAGAACCGATTCAGTATGGGATTTTTTTAAATTCGAGCTGAGGTCGTATCGACTTTTAACAATAAAACTGAAACTAATTAGGAAATCGCTTATATTATCACTTAATTTTGCTAAAAAATGTCGAATACGTTACTTATGAAGAGCAGGGCAGATTTTTTTTCAAAATTTTAACAAGAAATACTAATTTTAAGAGATCATCCGTTGCGACGATTTTCTAGAATTATCGAAATCGATCGTTAAAATTTTCTTTAAGTAATGTTTATTTTTGTGTCAATTTTAGATTACTTAAGTTGAATTTATTAAGTTGTTGCATCTATTTGATAATTTGTATCGAATTTCAAAAATGTTTTTGTTATAACCGTATACTAGTAATTAAGAGTAGTAAACCATCGTTAGACATATTTAGGTGATACGTATGAATTAATAAATATATAAGTACGACATGCTATGACATTTAATATTTTACGTACGTTAATGACTCCGACGTGTGCTTTAAACGTTTATTTTATATGTTTGCGTTATAAATAACTAATAAACAAATTTGCTTTTGAAAACGATGGACGTTTTAAATCTAGAGTTGCATGATTGTTTATTAAACATATTTTAACAATAATAATAAGTTATTTAATAAAAGCCGTATTTGCCACCCGTATAGGTGGATTATTTTCTTTAAATGTAAATGGGACCAATGCTAATTGATATTAAAATCGGCACATGATTAACAGTAGTTATTGCAAATCTGGTAACGGTATCTGGTAAGGTACGCTGCCGTGTTCGAGCAGGGAATGACGATGGCACGAAACAAAATCAGAACGGCGAGGCAAAGAAATTATTAAAGAACGATTCAAAGTTTAAAAATACGAGTGGCCAGAAAACGGAGAAAAGGCGATAAAATTGCTACTAAGATGTTGAAAATTATTTTAAAAAAATAAACGTAATTGATTAACAATTATAGCTCTAATTTTAAATAGTTCACCATTTCAAAAACAAATTGTAAAATTTTACATGTATTAACTTTAAGTTAAAACGAATGCATGTTGTCTTCCACTGTGCGATCCGAAGCTTTAACATAGACTTACTTAGACTTACAACTTATGTTTAATGACCGGTGCTAAGATATATGTAATTTTCAGCCACCCAACTTAAAGTGCCTAAGTTGAGTTTTTGCTTTTAATGATAACGATGTGTGAAAATTGTTCAATGATTCGTGAAATGACTACAATAATGTCAAAGCTCTATAGTAACGTACATCCCATGACCATTAACCTTTTCATGTCGATCAATCACGCGATATTGGTAGAATTCGTAGGGTCACCGTGGCGTCACAGTAGGAGTGGCGTAAACTGGGTTAACTACCACGCCAGGTGCAGGTACAACCCTGCGAATAAGTTATGTGTTTTGAGGGCGGTAAGTAGGCAATTAAGAACAAAAGGACATTCAACTATTATAAATACAATATTAAAAACGCCATTGTTTATTCATATTAACCTATTGTAATGGTTTCGATCAAAGTTTGGACCATATATTCTTTGACTTCCTTCAATTTAACACGCCTTAGTCTCATTAACCAAATGCTGGAAAACATAGCGATTAACAGAAAACCTATTAAAAACATAGACGATTATCCTGTTCTTTACAAATTATATAGCATTAAAATCCTTCATAACATATGAAATTACTATATAAGAACCTTATAAGAACAGGCGCTTGTTGCCTATTCCCTCAAAACAAGGAAAAGGTACTAATATAAACAGGCTGTATGTAAACTTATTTAAAAAAATATTCATATTATTATCAAAGTAAACATAAGTTCAGTGGTATGCTATATCTTACTTGTTTAATATTGCGTGGCAGTATGTCCGCATTCCTAATGGGCAGCGAGAGCGTAAAAATTAATAAAAACATAACCACCTTTGACTTGGTTGGTTACTTACTACAAGCTTATATACTCGTTATAACCTTAGAAATAAAATTATGAAAAATTATTATATTTTTTTGATTAGCACTTTACATCTAAAGCTACATTCCCCTATATAATTCTTCTACGAAAATTGTCAAGACATTAGATGTAAACAATATATACAATAAACATATAATACAATAAACATCTTCTCTTCTCTCGGAAACAACTTCTCTTACGTTTCAATTTTCTGGCTGAGTTCCGGAAATTACAGCTCAATACAAAACTTAATCGCCATATGTTAATAATCCATAGAAGCACCCTGCAGATGTATTCAACATTTTAGACAAGAAACAAATTTCACACATCTACCATCTACCCCTTAATTTTTTAAATAGTCTATATCGAGTAAGTTTGTATCTACAATAAGAAACACTAAGGTGCAATATACAATAAATCGCTCAACACAATCATACATACATATTATAGCTATATACATAAGATTATCACTGTACATAATACTTAGCAACAATATTTTTTTTCTATCATTACCTAACGTAAAATATAGCCTAATATACTATTATACTCATATTGGAACGAATATGCAATTAATGTAAGATTTTGTATATAAATCGGTGCATGTATATAATATGGTATGTAAGAAATTGTTTATTCCAAATAACAATAAACATTTTGTATGTCAGTTTGGTGTTTTCATTTGTTATTTCTGTAACCATTAGGACAAGGAAAATTACGCCACGGGGATTTATTTCAAATGTCAAAAACTATAGAGTCGTTTTAAAATGTCACAATGACATTTCCATTGAAATATCAAGATAATTTGTAGTAGGTAGGTAGCAAAAGTTTTCGTCCTACGGAACAGGCTAAGGCGTCTAATTGGCCATACTGCCAGGTCGTACATTATATTTTTTCTTCAATAGTTTAATTATAACCATTGACTTACAAATAAATGGAAGACGGGTCTAATACAAAAACCACGAAAAAAATGTCCCAAGTCAACCTATTCGAAATTTAAATTGTAATGTCATCGCAGTATCGCGCTGTCAGTAGAACAAATGAAGACTAAAGCGGAGTTTGGCGCTCTGTATACGATTTTAGCGCCTTACAAGTGCGGACACTTTTTAGCGCGGACCCGACGTCCATATAATTGTAAGTCAATGATTATAACTCTCGTTATATCTTTACAGTGGCCATTTTGAAACCACAAAACAAATTGAAAATTGTTATTACTGTTTTTTTACGGTAAGAAAAAGACAAATGTTTAAAACCATACAGCCAAGTCTTGGTGAATGTTTTCTCTTGCTTTTGACAAAAATAAATCTATCAGTGCTGTGCCATTAACAATAGAGTCCTTTTGCCTAATCTTCTTATTGGTAAAAAAGTAATAGAATTTCTAGTAAATAGCCTTAAGTTTTCTAGAATATTATCCTGATATATTAATAACACTTCATAATAATATTTTAGAATACAAATAATAAAAATTGCCACCTAAAGGCTTAGGTAGAGAAAATTTTCCTGAAATTACCCTATTACCTACATTGTTCTAGAAGTCATTGAGAAAAGAACAAGAAACCAAAACTAATAAAGACGTAGACATTGAGTAAAGGACAAAGAGAATTTGTATAATGCAAAGATTTAAAAAAACATTAGCAAGACGACGTTTGGTAAAAAAATATTTATATACATATATTATAACTTCAGTGTCAAAACAAAAGAATGTATGGCTTCCATGTCGCGTGAAAAATCCATCAACGTTAGTACACTACGTCAACTTTACACAATAACCCATCAATTATTGCACAAAAAACTGTAATTTACGTCACATATATGCGATGAAACGGGGTAACTGCCCTCCCATTACTTCTTAACTTTAAATAATAAAAACGAAATCGGTGCATTAACGTTTATTCATACATCGATGGTTTTCTTGCAATCGCTTTTCCCATCGCTCTTGCTTAAACTACAATGAAAATGAAACGTTTTCAAAAAGTTCTTTAGTTCAGAAATTCAAGGAGCATGCGCAGAGCTCTTTTTTAAATTGGAAAAGCTACCGTAAAGTTTTCTTTCAGTCTTATTGCGAACTCGTAGAGAGCGTGTTGTTTGTAGAAATTGAAATTTTTCGTAAATTCAATATTTGTATTAATCACAACTGAAATAAACTTATCAGTAACTTTTTTTTTTTCAAAAAGATAAGTAATAGTTGTTATAGAGAGTTAGAGAGAGATAGTGTGCCACAGCCACGTGTTGCAAAAGTTATAGCTTTATTAACAGTTATAATCTAACTTAATTAAAAACCTTCGCGATAAAACTGTCATACTCTACTTCAAAGTAACTTTAAATAAATTCCAATTTTAAAGCAAAAAGTAGTGGTCTCTTTTTAATTTTTACTTTACTTAAAAATAAGGGAGCACACACACTATTACCGTGGCATTTGAAGACGTGCCACTGGGTTCAGGCGGTGCAGCGCCAACCCTTACGCGGACAACTTCTCGACAATGCTTAGCATGCCAGCATAAAGCCAAACTGCTTCCTGAGATACCGGAGCCGACGGTGGTGCAGCCGCCGCCGGCGATCGCCAGGCAGATGGCAGCCAAGCCAGATAATGCTACAGCAGAAGCGCTGGAGGACAGGGATCCTAATAATCTAAACCAGCACGTACAGGTGAGCTTTAGGCCTATAAAGAATCAAAATCAGTTGGTTTTTTCTGGCTCGTCCTTGCAGCTCTATTTTAAGTTATTTTGAAATCCGAGGTCCACATTTGTATCATTTCATTTAGACATGAATATGGAAAAGAACCAATTGTCTAAATCGTATTTCAACGGAGTTCATTCAAGGTGCGTTGCGGATATTATCAGCCGTTGATAACGATCAAGCGCATAGGAGAAAGAAAGAAAATTGTTTACTCCGTCAATAATCTACAGATTTGACATAATAATACAATACAAGACTATCCACACACACCAGGGCCACGTCAAGGGGAAGGGCCGTGCTAGTTTGTAAAATTGTAAATTGTAAAATATACGCGATATTTTTTGAGCCCCTATCGGATCACGGCCCGTCCACGTCCCGGGCACGGCCCTGATGCGTGATTAGTCCTTTATTTCTAAATAATTCGCATTATTAACTAAATAAATTAAGTACTAAAATAGGAATAATAGAGTGCGCACTGTGCTATTACGGAATCCGTCATCCACTCAGCTTAATGTCGTAGCACTTTCAGCTACGACGCCGCTTTTCAGTGGACCCGATAACTGCAAACAGGCAGCACGGAACACAGCAGACATTTCCACCAAGAAAAAAAAAGTGGGAAATGTTGTACAGAAGTTATGTCTTGTAAAGTTAGCCGCCATCGTTGGTCTACGCGTTATCGCTACGAGTTTACGTAGCAGGTACAACACCGTACCGATGTTTAACGTTCGCTGTTTAAAGGTTACGAATGGCGCGCGTGTAGCTGACGGAACGAACAAGTCATGTCTCTGGTGGTAAGCGACATTCCTATCCATAACAGTTGCAGTGCCACTCAGAGCTTTAAATCGCAAAGATCTTAGGGGCACTGCCACTGCGCCCGTCACTATGAGACATAAGTAGATAAGGTGGTAATGCGTCAAATTTGTTGATAGTACGTAATACTTTAGATACTCCAAACATAATTAAAACAGTAAACTCCTTATAACAAGTACAGTAAAGCCTTTTGCGTCAGCAATTTGCATAATCACCCGACAATTATAATTCATAGAAAACTCACTGCTAACAAAGCGTAAAATAATTACTAAGTATAAGTAAATTCCGTTACAAAAATAACCCTATCCACCGGAAACTAATTTCCATTTGTACCAGAGTACGTATCTATAGTTATGTACGCAAATAACATTTGCAAACTATAATATAAATGTCTTTACTTATTTGTCACACTGTCCAATTGGATTGTTACTTTGTTACAGCCAAGGCTGGGCTCTATTTGAATTATGTGTAATTAAAATACAGCTACGTATCACAGTTTAGTAAGTCTTTTTATGTTTATATTATATTTTTATTTTAACTTATTGGAAGACCAACGGCTATCTTACAGAGTAAAAACTGAAATCATAATGAAGAGCCAATTTATAGGTCCTCACCGACAGACACACATTAAGTTAATGACATTTTCGCAAGACTTAGTTATTACCTACTCGCTAAAAAACAAACTACCAATAAGATGCTTCACCGATGCAATACTAGAGTTAAAATGGTCAATATCAACCTGCTTGTACTTTTACATTGTAGTTATTATTCGCACGCAAGGGATATGCATTCCGCCGAAAATTCGAAGAGGCTAATGGCACGCGCAAAAGTGAATTATACCTAAGGGACTTTGTAGGGGTTCTAAAAGAAATCTTGGACACGAGTTCCGGGGAGTCCACGGCACCAGAAGCAATCTTCTAGTCTTGTTATATTATGTACGTATTTTGTACTTGTATATCAATTACTAAGTAAAGATGTATTAATGTACCGGCCTACCGCTTAACTGAGACGGTTCCTGAGGTAGTTGCGCGGTGCGGGAGGAGTGGCAGTTTACGTAACAGTTATGTCGCGCTCCACACGTGATAAATGCAACAAGATTTTTCTGACGACATTCAAAAGTTGACTGAAAAAAGTGCCAAATGGCTTATTTATTCATTTCAATGATGAATAAAATAGTTTTTTTATTATCGGTTTACATTACAACAATTAATTAATTTGGTAGGCAATGTAACAGTTACGTAAACTGTCACTTAGGCAAGCGATAGGCGTGTAAATGTATATATTTTTTAATTTGATATTATAATATTTTCGTGGTGAAAATATTACAACACTAACAACTACTATATTACAACACTAACCATAAACAAACACAGAAAATTATCATGTAACTTTTATTAGTACTGAACATACAATTTAAGTTCGCAAAAGTGTAATTTTTCGTTTATTATATTATCTAAAAGATCCATTGACTTACAATTATATGGACGTCGGGTCCGCGCTAAAAAGTGTCCGCACTTGTAAGGCGCTAAAATCGTATACAGAGCGCGACACTCCGCTTTAGTCTTCATTTGTTCGACTGACAGCGCGATACTGCGATGACATAACAATATAAATTTCGAATAGGTTGACTTGGGACATTTTTTTCGTGGTTTTTGTATTAGATCCGTCGTCCATTTATTTGTAAGTCAATGAAAAGATCAATGGAAATGTGACATAACGTCGGGGATAATGCAAATCCGCGTATGTAGTATTAGTAAATAGCGCGTATCTGCACCGAACCAAATTTCATAGGCATTGACTTACAATTATATGGACGTCGGGTCCGCGCTAAAAAGTGTTCGAACTTATAGAGCGTTAAAATCGTATACAGAGCGTCATTCACGCTTTAGTCTTCGTTGTTCGACTGACAGCGAAGCAAGCAAAATTAGACAGTACTGCGATGACATTACTATTTAAATTCAACGTTTTAGCTTTTTCATATTCCTTTACATGTCATTACGTTTAAATAGGTTGACTTGGGACATTTTTTTCGTGGTTTTTGTATTAGACCCGTCGTCCATTTATTTGTAAGTCAATGTTCATAGGAGACGGATTTAACGTTACTACTTTGTCATTTCAATGGCTATGACTTCCATTTTTGCACAGTAAGCATTAATTTATGTTGTTTACGGACTGATAACAATAAATTCCCGTAAATCACGCTAATTTGGTTGTCACGACATTCCCGCGGATTTCATTTGGCGACTAAATTACCGAAATGGCGACTCATAATTAAATGCTAGTTACGCGTAATTGCACTATCCCCGACGATGACTATTTATTTTTCGAAGAGATCAAAAAGGTAACAAATTAAATGGAAACTATTCAAGAATTAACGCGATTAGCTCCCTCGACAACGCCACTCTATTTATTAGATCAACTGTTTGAATTTTTTTAAGCTAAAGTTCTTTCGCGCGCGATTGTTCGTGTTCGTATTTGTTACAACGGAAAGAGCGTTCGTGTAAACGCTAAAGCGCAAGATAGATCGTGTGAAACTGGTGGAGTGCGCCATTGCGCGCGTGACTGTTGAGTGCATCGCGCGGTCTCTCTCTTGATCTTATAACGTCTTTACACTCGCGCTCAATCGTGTATGATTGCTATATCACGCGCGATAGATATGGTAACAGTGTGTTATCTTAAGTGTGTTTCACGTGCGAACAGTTTTGCCGAATATCCGGCTATTCGATCACGCTCCATGTCGAACATCCTATTCCTTCTTTTATTTGGCTTACAAAACTGGTTTCAGGGTTATCAGTCTTAACTAGACATGCTTAAATACAATGGAACCTACAAGATATAATCACAACATGCGTATAATTTTCACGTAAATCTTCTTACGAAACTTCTTATTCGCAACATAATCACTTGTCAGAATCTAATAACACGAGCTCTGAATGATAATGCCACTGAAAATAGAGCACATTACATAAGTATCTCGTATAAAGTAACAACCTACCTTCATTTAACCTTTCACAAACCAAGAACGACAATAAACAAGAAACGAAAAGGTCAGTTTCAACGACGTTGTGCCTACTTGGAAAGCATTATGTATGCAAAATAGATTCGCACCCCGTTTTAGTACTTCCTCACTTCAACGTGCAGTCACTCTTTATCTGGATTGAATCGGACTTCTTTATTTCAAATTCCGTTCTTTTTGCAAATTATCTTTAGAACCCTGAAACGGTTTCGCTAATATTAACATTAATGTTGATATTATCAGTTGACCAAATGTTTTTATGTAAATTTCAAAACGTGGCATGGTTTGTTCGTAATTTGTCCGTGTTCAAATAGTTATTATTATTAAACTATAGAGCATCGTGTTTAATTAGGTTGTTGTAATTTATTTTATTAGGGGAACTTCTTGATAACACAATAATCGTCATAATAAATAATAAAATAAATAACGCACATACACTTAGCCCCGCACTAGGGAAACCCTGTACTGCGGGTGCCATGGACACGCAAATAAACAACCACAAATACGCGGGAATCGAACCCGGGACCTCTGCATGGTAGACCGGCATGCTTACCGCGCGGCTACAGCAGTTAATCATATCAGTCACTCGATAAGAAATTTTTAATACAGTTGCTCAAAACGTACTACGAGTCGTGTCGAAAGTTGGATTTTTCGCACTAGTGTTTTTTACTTTTCCATTTTTTTTACATAAAAAATTACAATAATAAATTAGGGTAAATTACATAAGACTAAAGAGGTTGTATATTTATTTAATATTTATGTACTTTGTGACGTAAGTCATTCGTCATTAAAACATAAATTTACTTACAAACATCTTATTTGCTTAAATTGCATAGGTATTTTATAAAACCACCACATAAAGATGGCTGATTGAGTGTGTACAATGACCGGAGGTGAGTATACCGCTACGCGCCGAGCCACTAAAATAGTAATTTCAATGTGGCTGAATACTGGCAACAGTTGCCATTGTACTCTGAATTTTTATCAGACAAAGAAATAAAATGAGTTTTTTTTAAATACTGTTTTACTAGAGAAAAATCAATGTGACCGTCTTTATTGAGTTCGTTAAATAACCGCAAAGATCTTGGTAGATAACTATTGTGTCTAAAGTATTAGTACGACTAAATGGAACACGGAGCAACTT